ATGAAACAACTATTTAAAGCCGAATGAAATCTGCACTAAATTAATCACCGTTAATATTACTACACACAATCTAATACTTTTCTCCTTCTGACTTATTAAAAATGACAACATGGTGGCAATTTTTGTGGGGCTTGGGGCTGTATTCAAGGCTTACTGGATCCACTAGGCACTCTGTTCGAAGAGGACCAATCTTGTTCCACATAATCCCAATTACTGACAATTCTCCACATGCCTGCTCTGTCCTGCCCTGGTCTGCCAACACCTCCCTCTCTCCAACCTCTCTCTTCTGCTAGGCATCCCAAATTCTTCCTAGGCCTTATTATTTGATACCTGTGAAGCCCCCAATGGACCAGGCATAGAGGATGATGTCTTCAGGAAGGAAGCCCAAGTGGTGGATGGCATATTGCATCACCACATCCATGGCATTGGCCTCATTCTGTGGCAGTGGCACTCCCTGAGACAAGTGGGGAAAACAGTTAACGCAAACGTTGAGGGTCTTCCTTTCTTCTTCCTTTGCTTATATACAAAAGACCCTTCACAAGGGCCTTGCCTGTCATTCTAAATCAGACCACCTATTTTTGCCCTTACAAAAAACAGGACAAAAATCCACACAGGGTAGTGCGACTACATAGCCTTCCTCTAGGAAAAACTAACATTTCCCAGAATGTGTGTGCGTGCCCAAAATGATGAGCTGTATTACTTCTAGCTGTATGCAAACCACTGAATAGATTCAATCAGTTCCTCTGCTGTAAAAGGGCAAAGGATTTTGCTGTGTCAACCTATTTGTATATTTTAAAATTTAAAATGTTTAAACTTTTTGATGATGTTGTATTTGAATAATCACTTTATTTTTTATAACAATTGTTTTTATCTATTTGTTATTTTATTTAATTGTTGTACACTGCCCAGAGTCACTTTGTGTAAGACAGGCGGCTATATAAATGTGATATATAAATAAATAAAATAAATAAAAACCTAAATATAGAGCATAGATGTTTCTATATTTCTAAGATAAAAATGCTTGATTTCATTTCACTGGACTTTAGCATTTGTGTATTTAAGGACTCCCAACATTTCTTCCTTGTCTTCTGCTAAGCCTAAGTGAATCTATTTAAAAATAAATATTCTTAGATCTTCCAAGTAGAGATGAACAATGACTACTACTAAGCTTCACCGAAGAGGAAGCAAAAGATCTTCAGGGCAGAAGAGACAGACAAAGCAGTGGGAAATTAAATCGCTTAGATGATTTACAAGGAAGGTACTCCATGTAGATATCAGGGTTCTACCTTCTTTTAAAGGCTTTCCAAAAAGACCCATTGTTTCAGCCTAGCTGCTAATAACTGTTAGTACTTCTAAATGTTTTTAATCCAGATGTTAATTTATTGATTAGCTCACTGGTCTGCAGTACCGTCAATGCTACTGAATGGATGGGTCCATATCAGATTTCTTAAAAGAGCAGTCACTGGAGAACTCAAAAACAATCTGAGATAAATCTCGGAATTACTCACCGTGCTGCCTGCAAACCCAGGATGATTCCATCCCAGCACAGAATATCCAGCTACAAGACAGAAAGAGAAAAATCAGCTGGAAAGGAAGGATCAGGTGATAACTACAGTAGAATCCCAACCAAGGAGGAGGAGAGGAGGAGGATTGTTATCTAGGGTAATGTGAAGGAATGGTTGGATGAAGGCCGCGCTCAGGGAGTTAAGCATTCCCTTAGT